CACACACACACACACACACACACACACACACACACACACACACACACTTCAGGAAATCTGCAACATTTCGGTCTGATCTGATCTTTCTTCTGTCGGGACGTTTTGATAGTTGTAGTTTTTTGGTAAACGTCTTCACGGTTTAAGGAAACAAAAATCAGGACTTTAAAAAAGTTCAACTCTTCAGGGACCAAACCTCCTCCACCAGCAGCTCCTCAGACCCGGGTCCGGACCCCGTCAGGGCTTTAAAAAGAAACTAACGAGATCCGGCGCTGCCAAACGAGCACTTCCTGTTTGGACTTTGTGAGACGGTTCTTCAGATTCTGGCCGGTCTGGAACCAGCAGACGGATCTTCAGCCATGTTTTTTAAGTTTCGGGGCGGTGGTAGGCGCCGCCGCTCCAGGTGCTACAGGTCTGACGAGTTTCAGAACCAGCTTCCTCTTAACTCAACTGTCGTTGTTCAACGAGTTCCCATCATGCCTCAGCGGGTCCTTTCAGTTTGAATCTGGTTTAGTTAGTGTCTTACCTGCTGCAGACGACTGTTCAGAAACAAGTTTAATTCTGGCTCGGCCCACAGTGAGCTCAACATGGATCAGACCCAGAAACATGGTTCACGTCAAACAGTTTTATAAACCTGGAGTGCTACAGCTAGCTGCTGCTGCTACTTACCAATTACTGTGAGACGAGGAACCTGATTGTAGGATTTCTCAGCTTCGGATGAGTCAAAACATTTTTTGGTGTAAAAGATTAAAAAAAAACATTAAATCAAAAAATGTTTGTTTTTTTAAAAAAGGCAGAAAATTTAAATTGATAAAAATTTAATTCTTGTTAAAGGTTAAACTCAAAAAAGCTATCTGCTGCAGGTAAGATACTGATGATTTTAGAGTTCTACCTCAGATTGTCTGAACTCGAAGATGAAAATTTTTTAAAATATCAGGATTTTGAGCCAATTTARAGGTTTAAATAAAATATTTGCTTCATTTAATTAAAAAAAGTTAATCTTATTTATAATAATTGTAAAATAATTTTTTCCTGTAAAAGTTTAAAAAAGTTCAGGTTTTTGTGAACAAACTTTCAGTTTCTGCAGAATCCTCGGGAGGTTCTGTTGGGTCCAGATATTTCAGAATCAGAGCTGAGGGATGATGGGAAGTCTCTGCCGTGCCTTCTGTCTTCATCAGAACGCCCCCCCTCCCCCCTCAGGAGGTTCTGTTGGGTCAGAACCTTAGAACCTGCACTGCCTCGTCTCTCAGCATTCCTCTGGTGCTCACAGGTCCAAACCTGAGAGACTCTTAGAAACAGAATCTATTTTTTAAACCTCCTGGTTCTAATTTATTACAACCCTCAGACGCCTCGTTGGGTTTTTCCAGAACCGACTGGACCTCAGAGGTTCTGACTCCTGGTGCTTCACTCGTCTGAGGACAAACCTTTCCTTTGATCAGATTAGACTCGCAGGTTCCTCTGTCCCTGCTGCTCTGGAGGAGAAACACCAGCAGGTTCTGATCCGAGGGCCGGGTACCGAGCCCAGGTGCATGCTGGGAAATCAAACACCTGAAACTCTGCGGCGTTACCCGGCCAGAACCTTCAGGTTCAGGTTCTCCTTCCTGCTTTAGATCCTGACAGGTGCTGATGTTTGTCTTGTTTTCAGGATGATGTTTAATTAAAATGTTCTGAAATCTGAAGATTCTGGCTCTTTATTTRGGACCGGTCCAGATCAGACCGGTCCGGACCAACAAGAACTTTATTCTTCCTAACCAAGGTAACTGTTCTGTCCCTTTTCAAACTGTTAGAAACAAAATGCAAAGTAAACCTTTAAGTCCCTGTGACGTCAAACTTCTGTAATAAACATGAATMRYTTMTTAGAAAGACACTGATTAAATATTACAAAACTAATTTCACACAACTGAGATGAACAGATGAGATATTTACCTGTGAAGAAACAGGAAGTGATGTCAGAGGAATGTCTGCGTGTCAGAGCGTTGTTACAACAGACTGTAGAGAAGTATCAGATGAAGAACAGTCAGAATTCAAATAATATTGATTTAATAAACAAAGACCAGAGTTTTCTTTAATGAGTTCCCCTGTGATGTCACTTCCTGTTTCACTTTGAGCCAAGTTCAAAAGAAATAAGTTATGGGACAAAATGTGTTAAATTGTGTGTATTATTCCAACTTTCTTAAATATAAATTTGTTTTGACTTTTTGTTTTTGAAGAATAACATGTCACAGGCACTTTAAAGCTACTGCTAGCTGAAAGTAGCTAAAAGCTAAACARTTATAAATGCTGAAAAGAATAAAAGTCTCAGTTAAAACTGCTGACTCAGGAAATGAGTTTATAAACGTGACCCATCATATCGACATGAGGATTAAGTCAAATTTGGTCAAAATGACCTCATTTTCAGATTCCAGCTTTAAAAACTTTGACACCTGGATCATCCTGTTATAAGTTTATCCAGAAATATGACTTCATTTGTCTTGTTGGTTATGATAATATATTACTGTTTGATCTGAATCCTAATTTTATTGAGTAAATTTGATGTTAATATAAAGAGGAAAGCTCAAATATTTGTATATTAAGATTTCCCAGTTGGAAAGAAACAAGAACATTGTTAGCTCACAGGGAAAATTTAAACTTTAAAGTGTTTTTACTTAAAATCAGTTTTTTTTGCACTGCTGCTCAAAACAGTTCTTACAAACTTTATGATTATATTTCAGTTCATTAACATGATTCATTGATAAATTAATTCATTTTATTTTGACTAAATGTAATTTTTGCACATTTAAATCTAAACCCTGTATCTGCCTGTTTCTCCACTTTTGGACTTAATCCTGGTTTCGATGTGACGGCTCACAAATAAAAAGAGGACAGCTGTGATTACTGGTTGGTCCAACAGAACCGGGTCGGGTCAGAACAGAACCTGGGCCAGGCGCTGTAGAGAAATCTTCCTTGTTTTTATTTATCACACATTTAGAAAATGAACCACACTATACAAATGTCCACCGTTCAGTAATGGATCAGGCCTCCTGCACCGGCCCGACCTCGGGACCAGAACACCTGGAGCGGACTCAAGCAGCGGCTCGGCTCTGCGGTGCGGTTTGGACCGACCCGTGTGGGTGGGCTGCGTCGTGTCGTTATGTCTGGACTTTGAATCACCGTGTTGCAGGAAGGCAGTAGCATGCAGAAACCTCTTCGGTCCACTAATTCATTAAAGTTACAACTAAGTTCTGTTTCTGTCCCTTATTTACAGCGTGACGAGGGGGGGCCGGTAGACGGGGTCCCCCAGCCTCAGCAGCAGGGGCCGGTAGACGGGGTCCCCCAGCCTCAGCAGCAGGGGCCGGTAGACGGGGTCCCCCAGCCTCAGCAGCAGGGGCCGGTAGACGGGGTCCCCCAGCCTCAGCAGCAGGGGCCGGTAGACGGGGTCCCCCAGCCTCAGCAGCAGGGGCCGGTAGACGGGGTCCCCCAGCCTCAGCAGCAGGGGCCGGTA